AAATTTTGCTTCTGAAGATCTATTTATTAACCTCTGAAAACTTCTATTTTAATTCTAAGACCGAAATATATTTATCTGCTCCAGAGATTCGGCAGCAATCTCCCCTATAAAGATGGAGCTATCTTAGGCCTTTAAAAAAACAAAATATACTCAATACATGTCCCCATAGAGACACACAGCCCATCCCATTGGGCAATCACAGCAATTCAAGGTTCGCTAACTCCTAGCTAACTCCCATACCGAATCAACACATATTCAACATTATTGGCTGCATCACACCTAATTCGCAATCTCAATTCAACACCATAATATTATTACAAAAATTCCTCAAATAAATATTTAATACTTGAGATTAAGTTAACCTAACTATGTTTTTAATGTATAATGACAATCAGTTTTACTCTACATTTAACATTTAGATCAATAACATATTTGAATTATTATAGAGTTTAACGTAACTAAATAACTAAAATACTAACTATAATAATTTTTAAATAAATATCAAGCAAATAAACTACTACTAAATTAGATGTTCACACTGCAATAACAAATTAATAACCACAGGAGAATACCAAATTAATTCAACGTAGAGTCATAGAATATTAAATATTGATGTTTTCCCAGATGATCCCAAGAATAGTAAATTCTGTGCAGAATTTGTTGGCTAAGTATCGAGGATTCGTGGAGGAGCTGATATCGTCTGCGGGCCCTGGACACTGCCCAAGTCCAAAGTGGCCGATCTGACTGACCGGCAAGAGAGAGAATGAGGCGTGCCGCGGAAATGAAAGCTTGATAGAGAACCTGTCCTTGCCCGGTGGTCGAGCGTAGGTCGCGCTGTGAGCGACGGCGCAAGGGCGAGATGCATGGCGGATAAGACTGAGCGTGGTAGTGTGCTTGCTCCTTGTTCAACTTGTGCTCAGCCTGAACGAACTGAGTGAACCGGTGGCTAGGCGAGCTACATGCGACGGGTGCGACGCCAGCGAGTGGCGCATCCGGAACGCTGGTGCCCGCTTAGCGGGCTGCGGCTCTGTTGTCTCCCCAGAGTCAACCCAAACCAGGTGTAAGAGAACGGAAGGAAACAGAAAAGAAAGCAAGCGAGGAAGAAGAGAAAAGAAGAGAAACGAGAGAGGTGGCATGTGGCGCTGCTGGAGGTCAGGATATGGAGAGGAGGTGCAGTTTGCCGCTGGATATAAGGGGAGAGGACTTCTAGAAGTGTTTGGGCGATCTCGATCTTGATTCGGTCGATTCGACCCAAATCTCTGGGTTTTGTGATTTTCAATTTCATTGGTTTTCGCATTCGGATTTTTAGTCCACGTAAGCAAACTACTTAATCACGGGTTAAATATTTAAAACATCTCCCACGCTGTCTATTATAAAATTTAAAACCGATAATCTTTGCAAAATAAAAATGTCTGGTATTCAGTAATACTTGTTAGAATCGAGTACCTTGAATAGCCAACGACTCTTTAGGTTTGATTAGTAAAGAAAACAGAATAGAATCAAAACATAATTTAAACATGGATAGAACTGAGAAAGTAAGACACTTTAGAGGTAAAGCAATTCTCGATTCTACAAAATATAATTGATATTAAATCCAAACGTCATCCTCAGTCCGAGTACAATCTGTCTATAGAAAAATCTAGTTAGCCGCGGATCAATTAAATATATAGAACTCATTGATTCGATAATTGCAATTAATCATTAAATCAATCTTATCTTGTAATCAAAAATAGTTCAACTTGGTTCAAAATAGTTAGTCAGTCTTGAATTTAGTTAATATATAGAATAGTTTAATTTAATTATTAATCTCGTGGATACTGGTAGCCATCGAGCGTTCACGTAGACTCAACATATCCTCCAACTCTTGAATGGAATTCACTCAGCGAAATATTGCCGAACCATGTAAATCATGAAATTCAACTAAAAATTGTAAAATTGCGAAAATTTCATTTCTTCCTCTATCGCACTGCTTTCCTCCAATCACACACACACACCATCAAGACTTCCAGAATTATGAAGGCAAGCACAACAGTAATTCAAACGGTAAGGCTGGACCGCTCATTGTAAAAATAAAAGAAAAAAAGAGCAAAGCTTCTCACCTGGTAATATAAAAAAAAAATAAGAACTTTTATCTTTGTACAATAATTTTATTTATTGCCAAAAATTCGAACAATTGTGTCCTCGTCTAAGTCTTAGGTCACTATATTTTTTGTTTTTCTGCTTCTAAACGACTTCCCTCTCTCTATGTGTGCTCAAGATTTCATCATCAACGCCAGTGATCACCCTAACACCTTTGAGCTCCCAAAAACAATAATAATTCAAATAAATACAAATTTTGTACATTCCACTATTACACATAAATTATTATAATTATCATTGCCATGGATTAAATGCTCTAACTTAAACATACATTTATCCTCGAATATTTTTTATTTCTTTATCTATAAGGAACACTCACAATGAGCCTAAAATATCATTACGTACTAAAACCAACCGTAAGAATAACCGTCCCCATTGATGCTACTAAAATTGTGAAAACTATAAAGTCCAACAAAATTTGAACTCAAAATTCTATAACTTGAAGCCTTTTAATAATAAAAAAAAGAAAAATTTGAATTATCGTAAAATTTATGACCCCCAAATTTAATCAGTTAAGAACAATAAATAAAAAATATCGCACAAAATAGCCGTCGTAAACATTCTTACAAAATTGAAAGTTAAGCCCCCACAATCAATCAATTAAAAACCTCCAAGAACAATTCAAACCTATCCCAAATAACTAATGCTGAACTCGTAAGAATCTCATTGTCTCCTCTCTGTTTTTTTTTTTATCAGCCACGGGGACCGTCGCCAAACACCTGGAAATACAGAGTAAGTACAGCAAGAAAACGAGGAGAATGTAGAGAAGCAAAAGTCCATCCATTCTTCAACTCCTTTTGGAGCCACAAGATAAAGCCCCCAACAGCCTCTCAGACCGATATTTGTGGGCTGAGTGTTCTGTGACAGCACTAGGAAATAAAATAGTATTTTATAATCTCATAAAAGGATTTTATCTTATATTTTATCTATCTTAGTCCTATCAAATCTTACAAATAAAAATCCCTGTATTTTAAAAATGTAATTAATAATGCCTTCCTAGTCGGTTATTATGATGCCATTGATTTTTCTAAGTAATTTTTTTGTCAAATCGTGCTAAAGATTTGTTACATTTGACCTTAATTAGATATCAAAATCTTAAAAAATTTAAAAAATAAAACACCACAAGAAACTATAATATAATAGATGACAAATTAATTTGATTTTTTTCGCGTGAATACCGTACAATTGTTTGTGATGTTCTAAAGATGAGGTTTTATGAAATTTTGACCGAAAATTGTAAAGGACTAAATAGATAATTATTACAATATTACGAATTTTTAAACAAAGAAGAAAAAAAAAAAGAAATCAAGACAAAAAAAAGAATATAGATCTACGGTTACGCCGACGGTTACCACATAACGAACTCGGCCTCCAACTCAAATGTCGTCGTCTGCTGACTTTCTGCGGCTTCCCGGTCATTCCTGCGCAGTCCCTCCACGACCGACGCACAAAGGACCGGCCAACCGCGCGTCTTCTTCTTTTTCTTCCTTTTTTTTTTTTTTTTTTCTCCTCTCTCTCCTCAATCCGGTCGTCAGGTAATATAAGCTCTTGGTGACTCGATCTGATCTCTATCTGTTTAATATATTATGTTGTAGTTTGTGTTTTTGGTAGATGCAAATTTTGTTTCAATGTTGCAAGAAGTTCTGTGATTGTGTTTTCTGGTTGTGGTTATGTTTGTTTGTTCGGGTATATGCTTATTCTTCTAGATCTTTTTGATACTGAGTCAAAGGCTGTTTTAAAGCTTCAGTTTGTTATGTTTATGTTTGAATTAATAATTTCTACTGTTGTTTTTGTATATTAAATGAATTTTTATTTTCCTACGCGTTTTTATCTGCAATTAATGTTGATGTCTGGATATGAAATGATGTTAGTGTGCTCTCATTGGCTATTTATTCACTGGACTTGGCCTGTTAATATTTTGTCAAGAATCAGACGCTCAATGGTTGATTTAAATGGTCTGAGTTAATTAATATTTATCTCTTCAAACTGAGATACCATTCGAATTTTTCACAGTGTTTATATTAAATGGTTCCCTGATGAAGTGCCATCTGAGATTGGATCTGGACTTTCATGGTGAATAAATAGTCGAGCCTGAAGTGCAGGTTAAAAATTATATAGAATTATGACATAAGGAAGATAATCACAGGTGTAAATTGTGCCTGTCTGGAGACTGAGAGTTATTGTGTAAAGACACTTGATAATAAGTTGTCTAATTGGGTTTTGCAGAATTTGTGTGATTGAGAGGGGAGAGAATGTGCATGGAGCGGTAACACTCAGAAAAGGCATAAGAAAGCAACTTGGGGCCAATTAAAGGTAACAAACCACATGTTTCATTGCTAAAAGTCAACAGTGAATTCAAGGTGTGGCTAGTGATGAATTGAATTATGTACTGTGTAAATTAGTTTAAGTTTTGTTTCTAATTTTTTTGGGTCTTCTTGGTTTTGTTGTAGGAAATTTGGACATTGTCAATAGTTTAAGGGCCACAAATCAGTTGAAAGACCTGCAAAGGGAAAACATATTATAGGTGAGGTGGGTCCTTTACTATTGTCATTCTTCGCGCGCGCTTAAATCAAAAACCCACATTATTGACATGCTTTTGCCCAAATCAAGTTTGGTGCTCTGTAGTGAACCATAGGAGGATAGGAAGCTTTACAAAATTTTGTTGTTTCTGTGTTGCAATTTTGCATGTCTAATTTTTGCTGCCATTGTCATTCATCTAGCCTCGGGCCTGCATGTTGCTTGAGCTGGTATCTCAGCTTTTCTCTTTGCGGAGAGCGGTTGTCAAAAACCAACCATAACTGGGTCGTATGCATTATATCGCTATATTGCTGATGATCGTGATATATCTTTTAAGTTTTTTTTTTTTTTTTTTCTCTCTCTCTCTCCTCAATCCGGTCTCAGGTAATATTAGCTCTTTGATCTCTCTGTCTCTATCTGTTTATATATTTATGTGTATGTTTGTGTTTTTGTAATGCAAATTTTCAATTGCAGAAGTTTCTGTTTTTGTTTTTCTGGTTTGTGTTATGTTTGTTTTGTTCGGGTTATATTGCTTTATTTCTTTAGATCTTTTGATGACGAGTCAAAGCTGTTTTAAGCTTTCAGTTGTTATGTTTATGTTTGATAAAATTTCTACTGTTGTTTTTGTATATTATGATTTTTATTTTCTACGTTTTTATCTGCATATTAATGTTGATTTGGATATGATGATGTTTATGTGCTTCTCTTGCTTTTATTTCACTGGACTTTGCCTGTAAATTTGGTCAAAATCAGAGCTCATGTGTTGATTTAATGTCTGAGTTAATTAATTATTTATCTCTTCAAACTGAGATAAATTGGATTTTTCAGTGTTTATATTAATGTGTTCCCTGATGAATGGCTATCAGATTGGATCTGGATTCATGTGAAGTAAATAGTCGAGCCTGAAGTCAGGGTCTAAAATTATTATAAGATTATGATAAGGAATAATCACTGGTGTAAATTGTGCTGTTCTGGAGACTTGAGAGTTATTTAAAGAAATTGATATAAGTTGTCTAATGGGTGTTTGCAGAATTTGTGATTGAGAGGGAGAGAGAATGTCAGGAGGCGGTACACAGAAAAGCATAAGGAAAGCACTTGGGGCCATTAAGGACACCACCACTGTTTCATTGGCTAAAGTCAACAGTGATTACAAGGTGTGCTTAGTGATGAATTGATTATGTACTTGTAATTTTAGTTTTATTTTGTTTCTAATTTTTTTTGGGTCTTTTGGTTTTTTAGGAATTGGACATTGCTATAGTTAAGGCCACAAATCATGTTGAAAGACCTGCAAAGGAAAAGCATATTAGAGGTGAGTGTCCTTTTACTATTTCATTCTCCTCTTAAAGTCAAAACCCACATATTTATCATGTTTGCAATCAGTTTGGTGCTCTGTAAGGTGAACCATAGATGGATAGGGAGCTTACAATTTTGTTCTGTGTTGCATTTTGCAGCTATTTTTGCTGCCATTTCATCTACTAGGCCTCGGGCTGATGTTGCTTACTGTATCCATGCTCTTGCCAGACGGTTGTCAAAAACACATAACTGGGCGGTATGTGCATTATATTGATAATATTCTGTGATCGAATATCTGTAAGTAGAGGATTAGAAGCAAATAAAGCTATTCTATTTTACAAAAGTTGCAGATTTTCATTTTTTGGTCCTGCATATTAAATGAGGATGCTTAGTTTATATTAGTTATACTATTCGAGTTGAAAGTAGTCAACTATTTATGACAATTGACTTGCATGCTGAATAAATTAGGTATAATAATGCACAAATGCGTGACCAGAATTTCTTGTACTCTTATATGTAATATGTTGATGTTCATCATGAACTTGTCATTGGAAATCATGTGAATGCTGAAGGATCCTCTGTATGTTACTAACTTAATTGTAGCTTTGGCTAGAGATACATCAATCAAATTCCTATTGGACAAGATATTCTCAGTGGAATTTTGTGGTTATTTGTGTATTCCCTTGCCCTAGTTTTTTATGAACTTCTTTTCTTTCCACAGAGGAATAAACATAGAGATTTTTTCTCCTTTCAAATGAACAAACAAACAAAGATTTTGGTATTTGTCATTCAAAATTTGGACATGAAGTTGGTTCATGTTTCTTTCACCTGTCATTATATTCCATCTTGCTCTCAAACAGGTAATTGTAATGGTGGTTTATAGTCATGAAACTTTTAGCACTTCAGATAAGGGAGAGCCATGAGCCATTTTCTCTTTCTTAAATCCTATAGTTTCCATAAAATCTTGCATTCCATATCATTGGCTTGAATGCCAACAATTTTTTATTTTCTGATTGAAACTATAATTGGTGTGTTGTTCATATAATCATGAGTGTAGATTTTATATATCTGCTTGTTTATATTATTATAATACACTTGCCTAACTGTTGGTTGTTTCTTAGGTTGCATTGAAAACTTTAATTGTTATTCATCGTGCTCTACGGGAAGTGGACCCCACTTTTCATGAAGAACTCATTAATTATGGTAGAAGCAGGAATCATATGCTTAACATGTCTCATTTCAAAGATGATTCCAGTCCAAATGGTATCCTTTTTTCTCCTCTTTGAATTTGATTATTTTTGTTAAATGATTGTTAATGACATTAATGGATATGTGCTGGGCAGCATGGGATTATTCTGCCTGGGTTCGCACTTATGCCTTATTTTTGGAGGAGAGGCTGGAATGCTTTCGTGTTCTGAAGTATGATGTTGAGACAGATAGACCTGTAAGAATATTTTTCTTTTTCTTTTTTGTCTATGCTGACCCTTATCATCTTTGTTTCCAGTTTCTCTTTATTTAATATTGTGGTTTCAGGGAGCCCTGATTACTGTTTTCCTTCACATAATTTGTCTATTTGATATGAGCTATATAGAATTTCAATTCTCCAGGTATTAGTTTCTGATGTGGTAGAAAGGAGAGAACCACCCCATGCTCAAGAGTAGTTGGTTTAAGTAAAGAATGTATAGCAAAATCATTTGGAATGCTTAAAAAGAATCTGTATAGTTGACTCAACTAGCTTAGGATTAAGCTTAGTTGTTCTTGTTAGTCTTGACCTTTTAGCTTGAGATCTACTTGGATATGCATATCTGTGAAAAGAATTGTCATCTTCTTTAAGGCATTACTGCAATATGTACCCCTGGAATATTCTGAATTTTCACTTTTATGACTGGCATCATACATCATAATTTTTTCTTTTTCTGGAAGGCTCACCTAATCTTACCATTCCTATGTTGCATATTTCAACTGTTTTCTCTATCCTTTCTGAATGTTATCGTACTTACTTAAACTACAGTAAACATGCATATTTGTTAGTTGGTAAAATATTTACCTGTCGGGTTTAGATTAAATTCTTGTAACTTCATTGCAGCTTTTCCTATTTTTAGATAACATATATTTTTATTTGCTAGACTTGTAATTTTGTTGAAATCAAAGGTTTTTTGGGGATGCAATGACAAAATTTTGGTGCAGAGGACTAAAGATCTAGATACTGCTGAATTGCTGGAGCACCTGCCTGCTTTGCAACAGCTTCTTTTCCGTGTTCTTGGTTGTCAGGTTAATCTTGAACCTTTGCAAATCAATGTGTTGGATTTATTTCAACATAACGGCATTTCCCTGCGTAACACAAAAATTGACCTCATTTAAACTTAAATTTAAGCTACAATTTTTCCTCAGTTCTTTTCATTTTATTTTTAAACAAGGAAACATTCTTTTATGTTTTTTGCAGCCTCAAGGAGCAGCAGTTAATAACTTTGTCATTCAGTTAGCACTTTCATTGGTAGGTGGATTTTATAATCTTGCTTGCCCCCATGCTAGCTGGGTTTGTGTGGATATGGCGCTCACTTGTTGTGAATTGCTTTCTGATTACCTTTAATATTAGGTTGCTTCTGAAAGCATTAAAATCTACCAAGCGATTAGTGATGGAGTAGCCAATTTGGTTGACAAGGTAATCAATGACCTTCTTGAGATCATAAGCTATGACCAGTTTAAAAATCATCTACTAACTAGAATGCTGCTGATGGCAGTTCTTTGAGATGCAACGCCATGATGCCATGAGGGCCCTGGACATATATAGGAGAGCTTGTCAGCAGGTAATTTCTTGGATGAAAAAAATCATATCTTATTGTTGGTGAAAAAAAATTTTCTATTTTAGTGCGTTTGATTTTGATCTACCTGTGCATTTAGGCGGAAAGACTCTCAGAATTTTATGAGATATGTAAAAGCATGGATATTGGACGTGGAGAAAGATTTATTAAGATTGAGCAGGTTCATATCTTTCTTGGTGTCATCTGAAATTTATTTCTTTGAATATTTCCTTGTTATTCTATGAATTATTCTTAAAGAAATATTTGTTGTTAATGAAGCCTCCTGCATCTTTCCTGCAAACAATGGAAGAGTATGTGCGAGAAGCTCCACGTATGTCAGTTCGCAAAGATCAGGTACTTGGACACTTTTTTTTCAATGAGTTCTGTACTGGATCGGAAGATCAGAGCAACAAAAATAGCATCAGATATCATTGGTTATTATAAATTATATAAACTGTCCAAAATTAGCTTGTGGTTTTATCCAGAAAGAGATTTGTTGTGGTGGGATATCTTAAATATTGAAGCACTGTTTATGCTTGGTCATGCTAAATTGATGTTGACTTTTTCACATGCTAATGCATTATGATAAACCTTTTATCAAATTATACTTTCATGAATCAGAGACAATGATGCGAGTGTCATATCCTACATATCCATATTTGGTTAGTGAGTTTGCAGTTTAGCTATTTCCTACCTTGCAACAATTATTCCTTGACAATTTAATCTTTAATCAAGCAGGTTGATAATAAGATTGGTGCGCCAAAGGAAGTCTTAGCTATAGAGTATAAAAAGGAACCAGAGGTGAAGGAGGAGCAGCCACCATCACCACCTCCATCTGAACCTGAAAAAGTTGAAGCACCTGCACCGATTGTTGATCCACCTGATTTGTTGGTAAGTTTTAGAGCGTCTTCCTTCTAATGTCAGGATATTATTGCACTTTCCTGACTTGCTGCTCTTTTCTCTCCCTTTGTTTGCTAGGCCTTGGATGATCCTGTTCCAGCTGCTTCAGAACTAGATGAGAAGAATGCGCTGGCTCTGGCTATTGTTCCAGTTGGTAAGTTTTTTCTAGTTGTCTGTCATAGACTTACGTTCTGAAACAGGGCCCAGAGGGTAAAATTCACCTTAATTTTGGATTTTGACAAAAAGAAAAAAAAAAGAAAAAAAAAGCAGCATGTCTGCTGATTTTTTTCCCTTTTTGTTCCGAGTTATATGCTGAAAATGTTAGGAAATTATCAGTACTCAAAACATTGGAAAAAAAAAGGAACTAAGAGCGTGGAGTAAGATTTTGAATGGACACTATATCATTAGTTAGTTTGCGTCTGGAAAAAACGCTTATGTTTTGTGTGGTTTCTGCTGTTGCAGCTGACCAGCCAAGTACGACTGCCCCAATTCAAGCCAATGGCACTACAGGATGGGAACTGGCCCTTGTCATGGCTCCAAGTTCAAATGAAAGTGCTGCAGCTGCTAGCAAACTGGTACTTTCTGCTGCTGTTGTTTGTTCCATTACTTAGAACAGTATCAGTTGGATATTGACTATTTTTTATTTGCACAAAATAAGTGGTTCTAATGTGTACCGACTGACACTACCATTCATGTCAATTAACCAGGCGGGAGGACTCGATAAACTTACATTAGACAGCCTGTATGATGATGCAATCAGACGAAGCAATCAGCCTGTGAGCTATAACCCATGGGAAGCAGCTCCAATGGCTGGTCCCACGATGCAAACAACTGCACATGATCCTTTCTTTGCCTCGCATGTAGTGGCTGCACCACCTTCAGTGCAGATGGCTACAATGGCCAATCAACAACAGGCTTACATGTTGCAGCAGCAGCAGATGATGATGATGATGGGCCCACAACAACAACAGCCTTCAAATCCGTTTGGCAATCCTTATGGAACCAGTATGCATCCCTATGGCTCAGGTATGCCACCCGTTCAAGCCTACAATCCATATTCAGGGGGCCTCTTATAGATGCTTTACATGTAAAAAACACATTCTTTATCTGGAAACATGAGAAAGGAAGAATACAGGGGAATCGATCAGCTTGACATTTTGAGATTGGGGAAGACCAGACAATTGTGTACCATATGTTGTGTATGTGCAGTAGTCAGTTAGAATGAGATTCTTCTTTAATAATTAGCGAGAAGGCTTTCGATTAGTGATTATTTACATTGATGAAGGTTTTAGCAATAATGCTTTTCGGACTACTATAGTTCATCAACCTGCTCTGTTGTTGTTTACAAGAATTATCTCATTATTCTTTTCCTCGGTAAGGTTTACTCATAGATATGATAGAAATGATTTGTAATCTTTGTGATTATCACCACATTTATGTAATGAACAGACGTGAAGTTTGATTTGTGGCTCTTGGATTCTTCAGGGGTTCCTTAAGGATGGCGTTCACTATTGATTTTTCACTTCTTATTCATTCATTGTTTTACTTTCCTTGAACCTTCTTAAGTTGGTCACAGACGTTCTGGCAATGACATTTAAGATTTCTATGGAATCAATTCCGGTGACTTCTTGTTGCCGAGTTACTTATTCTTTTGGAAAGGAAATGTACGTGAGTTTTTGTCCAAGTCACAGATGCACTCGCTGCTAATGCCGGGCTGTTCTTAGAAGAAAGGGAAACTGATGCTTGAAAATTATTCATCTGACTATTGCAGTCCATTTGCTCCGTAGTGTGGATATATCACGAGTTTATTTAATGCTAGAAAGAGACAGGTATATGTTGAGATAGTTTGCATATCATGTGATCGGAAAAAGAGTCAAAATTTAATGCAGTAAGTGCTAATTAGCAATCTAAAACGACGGTCGTTGAAATCAATTAAATTGTGTGGGTCATTTTAAATTTTCACTTCATTTCGAAGAGTAAATTTATTCTTATTTTCAATTTTGTAGCCATATAATTCTGAGATATTTTATAAATTTTTTATGATAGTATATATTCATCACTTGACTTTGCCTGCAACAATTATCTTTTTACATTCAACAGCTAAGCTTTATTCTAAAACCGCCACATAAATAGTTAATTACAGTTAGTAACAGCTATTGAACAGGGAATAGAAAAATCCCAGTCAGGTGTTCTAATTGATTTTTCACTGAGGAAGGCTATTTATGTATCCAAAATTAAAGCTATTCTATCCTAAATTCTCTCTTCATATTGGAGGTTCTTTTAAACAAAGAAAACCAAAATAAAATTAAAAATGAAAATTATATTTTTAACTAACTGAATCAAATTGGTTTCGTTAAAAAACTAAATAACACTTGAGCAGAATACCATTGATTCAATTCCATTATTTGGTTAAAAACAAAATTTGCTCTTCCTACCAGACGGAGAAGGGAAATAATCTTCTTGATATTATTTTCCAAAATTTTCTTTTTTCCCCTAATTTCAATCTTATTTTTATTTCTTTTCAAATCAATCATTAAACGAATCAAAATTGTGTTGTGACGTAGCGTCGTAAGAGATAACCCAAATTACATAAAATATCCAGTCAATAATAAATCAATTAATTAGAATTACATAGCTGCTGACGTGGCAGTTTGCAAGACGGACGCAGGTAGGAGTAAGCAAACCAAAAAAGCAAAAAAGAAAAAAAAAAAAAAAACAATTATTGCTCAATCAGAAATTCAGAATTACGAACCAAGAGTTAAAAGTGAGAACCAAACCAAAAAGCCAAAAACAGTTTCAGCTTCAAATGCCCAGTCCCTCTCCAATGTTCTCTGTTCCAAATCCTTCCATTCCTCTAAAATCCCCATTTCAGTAGCACCAAAAAAACCACTAAAGTACACAAAACATCACAATAATGTCTTGGCTTTTCAAGTCTTTCCAATCCGACGATCAAGATTCCTCCTCATCTTCACCAGAAAGTCCAACCAATCGTGGCGATGGTGTTAAAGAGGATTTATCAGTTATCGGCGAGTCTATCGGCCGCCAATTGCGTGGCGTCGCCAATTTTCTCGCTCCGCCGCCATCTCCGCCGTCCAATACTGAAGATAAGTCTTCATCACTTCCGTCTGATTATTTTTCTTCTTCATCAACGTCACAGTCACAAGCTCTCCTTGGGATCCGTAACGATCTAGCAGAAATTGGAGGTAGCTTGAAGAGTAGTCTGTCTCTACTGTCGAGTAACAAAGCTGTTAGTGAGATCTCTAAGTTTACGTCCACTTTTTTGCCATTCCAAAGTAACGATAATGAAGGAGAAGACGAGGAAGAATACGATGATGAAGAAGATGATTATGTGCCAGGGATTACAGAGGAGGTTGTTGATTTCGTTAAGGAAATTTCTATGAGGCCTGAGTGCTGGACTGATTTTCCATTGTTACTAGAAACCGGTAATTGCTTCAAATCTACTTTACCTAGCTGTATAGAATTATTTAATTTACTTTGCTTATAAATCAACTTGTTTTTGATTTGTTTTCCTGGTTTATTGCTGTTAAATGGTAAATTAGATGATATGTGGAATATAGGGATACCTTTGTGATGGATTTTAGATAAGCTAGAAGTTAAATTAGAGCAGAATGTAATGTTCCCCAAGTGTTAATGAATGCAATTGAGGATTTGGATAATGTTAGTCAGGAGGTATGTTATTGCGTTATGGTGGATATGTGCCTCTTATTGCTTTGGCAAGATGGTTAAATGGGCGAAGCTGCACCATTTAGTGTTCATGTTACTGATGCAATATTCAACCTGTATTGAATTTCTCTTTTAATAGGTACTGGTTTTGGATAAAAAAATTTTAGAATAGCATTTAATATGTCCAAGTCTTTGGATTCCAAGCTCATCAAGTCCTTTTATTGTTGAGGGAAAATAGTTTTATCTTTTTCATTTATTGGATAGGAAAGCAGCACCTTGGTGCTCCTATGGTATGTGAAGAGCATGGATTGCTACACACACACACAAACACACACACACACACACACACACAATCCGACTTGTCAATTAACTATGTTTGCATATATTAATACTCTTTGGTCATTAGAAAATAGAGAAAAGTAATCAATGGCCTTGAATCTTGGTGTATTTTGTTGCAGATTTCAAAATGTCTGATGCTCAGAGAGAACATGCTTCAATTGTAGAACATTTGGTTCCTAGTTTGACAGCTCTTAGAGATAACCTTCATAGCCATATGGACGATGGACGATTTTGGATGATTTATTTTATATTGTTGCTTCCAAGACTGAATGAAAATGACTCTGAGATTCTATCAACCCCCCAGGCAGGATTTTTTGTGTTATATATGCTTATCTCATTTTTTTTTAATGCATTCATATGTTTTTTCTTGTTTGTCTCTACATGTTCTTGTACAACGAGGCCTAGAAACAAACTTTTATTGGCCATGATATACTGAATCACTTGAATCTGATCAAGGTATTGTCCTTTTTTTTGTATATACTTTTATCTGAGGCAAAAGAAAAATTTTGGCCGGAAAGGGGTGGACCATTAAGTTTCTGTAACCATGATATGAGAACAATTGAATTGTGGAAATATGCTAATCTTCTCAGAATTAGTATTGCAACCCATTGCATTTGTATGTTACATGATTGTTATGAAGCTTACTGTATATGCTGTATTCTAGAGAGCATAAGCAAATATTGTTTTAGTTAATTACATCTAGCCAAGTGCAACTTATACAGAGGATGAATGGGTTTTTGACTATTGGGTTCATATGTATGATCATGTCTTTGAATGTTTGAGCAATTTTCTTAGGCTTCCAAGTGCATGAGAACCTAACTTTGTTCTTCGGGAACTTGGAAAGCTACTGACTCATGACACCTCAGCTAGAGTCCTTCAACATATTGAATTCAAGGATTATGGTGTTTGGGAACTTTGAAAGGAAATGGAAAGGGAAGCAGATGGAATAGAGAGGAGAATAGAAGAATTGAGGGTGAGATGACAATAGCAGCTTAAATAGCTGGCAGTGTTTTCAACTCCTTAGGACCTCAGTAAATACTAATCTAGTTGACTTACAAACTCTTTGAGATGCGAATGAAATTAAAATGCATTAGTAGGAAGTTAAATTTGAATTGGAATGCAAATAAAGCTATTAACTCATGACGTCTCAGCTAAAGTCCTTCAACATGTTGATTTCAAGGATTATGATAGTGATCAGCATATTCCGAATTGGTTTTGGCCTCTGCTTTGCAATTCTGCTGTATTTCCTTCTATTGGATTTTTCTCCTTTGTTATTTCTAGTCATCTTCATTTTTCTTCTTCTGGAATTGATTGTGATTGGAGCTTGCCGATCCACTTTTAATATTAAGGTGCTTGGTAAGATAATTCTGAGAATAGATATGTTTGGTTGAGTGGCTACCATAACTTGGTTATTGCATCTTGATTACCTCTGGGAAGGTGAAGAAGGGAGGGTTCCCAAATTCAAATTATGGAAGTTTACTTTCTGTTTAGGTGTTTTGTTTTTCAGCATTTTCTATTGTTTATGTTGGAATTGATGTTGGCAGTTCATTTTTTGGTAGCTAGTAACATGCTTCTGAGGTCTCCAACATTTATTTGCCACCATGAAAAAATTGTTGAAAAAATTTAGATTAGCTTTTTTGTGTGCCAATCATACCTAATCGATATGGAATCTTGGCTCTGTAAGCAATTTGTTTCAGTTTTTCTTTTTCTTTTTTAAGAATTTTATAGACTTGCAAGTTCTGAAGTCTTACTGTCATTTACTGGACTGTTGATTGGGTTCTTCGTTTGATTATGTACCGTGCAACTATAAATTCATTCCTTCATAGGTCACATAACATAAGATTAAGAAATACGTAATGTACCATAATGTTCCTTTGTGGAGTTGTACCTTTTGTTGAATTAATCTAATGTGGTCTAAACTTGTTGACTTGCATGCAGATAATTGAAACAAGAAGTATTCTGCTGCAAAAGCTGCAAAACAAGAGAAATGCAAAGGCAGAGGGTTCAGAGAATTCTGTTACCCTTGAATCATCTCAATGGGGCAGCAAAGTCACTGAAAGAAGAGAAGAGAATATCCCATCTAGGGAAAACGAGGTCACTGACATTGTAAATGCAACTGAAGGGTTAGAAATTGATGATGAAGAGAATGCTGACCAGTGGTTAAAAGAGACGGAGATTGATACTGAAACAACAGTGTATGGTCAGAAAAAGCTTGAACATGATGAGGACGTGTCATTTAGCGATCTGGAGGATGATAACGGTCTTTCAACTAGACTATCCGGTTCGAAGCAAGCACAGGGTATTATTAGGACTCCTTCACCCACACCTAGTGGATCTAGTGATTGGGTCCAGTTGAATGAGAGTTCTTCTGAGACTGGGGTTGGTCTGCAAAAGACAAGCCAGTCGAGTTCTCGGGAGAAAGATTCAGATGGTGAGTCTAATGATTGGCTTAAGGTTGATGACTTTGACTAGAAAATGCAATGACCATTTATTAACCATTTGTTGTATAGTTTCTTCTTTTCTTTTTTTTTTCTGTGATGGTTTCTGTACGCATGGCATTCAACCTGTTACATAATCATATGTTTAAACTAATAAGACAAAAAGGGGTTTCATAGTATTCTGCTCTTAACTATTGAAAGAAAAATTAGAAAATTAGTAGAACTTTTAAATGAAAAATATAATGAAAGCTTTAAATGTTTAAATGAACTAATTAATTACTATTATTTCCATCAATTCTGCAATATCATATGTTCAGTGTATTCATACTTCTGCTCAGAAATCCAACACACAATAGTGTGGTACGCAAATTCTTTTTTTTTTTTTGGTTAACTGTGAAGAATCCTTTCAGACCCAGGACAAGTAATTGATGGTAATGCAAAATTTTTCTCACAGGAAGGATTTCAGAAAAGACAAGTATTCGGAAAACTGAAATAACCTCTGCTTCTGAAAAATCAAACCCTGGATTGGATGCCAATCACAAAAAAAATGCTTCTTTGAAAAATCAAGACCTGGATGTGGATGCGGCAATCGACCAAAAAAAAATAAAGGTGTGATATAGTATTTATATATATATATATGTAGTATATATATATATATATAAAATTCTTTCTGGTGCAACGGATTCTGAATAACATGCTTTATATATATATAAAATTTTCTGCAACGGATTCTGAATAACTGCTTTACTAATATCAATCATACACAAAATCATTTCCTATAATTAAGAGAATGTCACAAAGACGGGTGTATATATGAGCTTTTTTCCTAATTATTAGAACATGCACGAACCTAACCCCAGTTTTTGTTTTTAGCTAATTAGAGACGTAAAATTAGTCCAATGCGTAAGATTGGTTTGAAAATCTAATAAGGTATATGAGAAAAATATGGATGCACACCCAGAGTTAGGATATCTGTCGCATAACTATTCAGAATTGTAACTCTTGCTTCGTTCATTCTTTTCTTGTCTTTGTCTGTTCACTTTTGTCATAACTCAAGAGTTCGTATCATGGTCGTTCCTAAGACAGTTTTTTACATCCCCAACTATAACGAAACCTTCAAGATGCAAACGAAATAAACCCTTGCATTTTTTGCAATTCAAATCACTTTGACCACTACCTAATGAGCTTTGGATCAGTAGAATTAGAATAGTTTTGAAAGCTATACAATTGCAAGTTCAAAACCCTAATCGGAGCCTAATAAATAAAAGAACAATTAGGATTTCCTTTTGGAACAGCTGCATTGCCCAAAAGGATAATATGAGTATTATGCATATAAAAATAGCAAAATAACTTGACCAGATAGAAACTCAAAATCATATAGTTATGGAAACCTGATTGATTAACTTGTAAATACATACAAATTCACATAACTATTAATTAAGGCACATATATGTATCTCTATCTAAAGGGGAATGAACATAATGTCACAATTTCCAATGCTAGTTCACATTTTCAAGCAATTTTCTGCCTTCCAAAATATCAAGGTATCCAACTGCTCCAACTATCAGGACGGACTGGAGGTTTCGCATTCTGATCCATGGGGCAATTACCATACACATTGGTAAAGAAAGGCGAATAGGCGCCTCTCCCTGGAGATATAGGAGGCAAAAGGCGGCTAGCCGAGCTACGAGGGAAACTTCCACAGATTGATAGCCTAACTGTTTCAGAAACCACTTGTCTTTGCAGCTTTGCATATGGAGGGCACCATTCAGGCATGTCATCATCATGATGGAAAAGATTTTTTGGTAGCGCGACAGCAGTATCAGCACTACTGCTAACTGGCACATTACTTCTGTTAGAATGTTGTTGTTCTGAACTTTGCGTCATGAGCTGCGTAGGCTCATTAATTCTCATGAAAATTTCAGATGTAATTTTCTTACCAACAATTTCAGTACTTACTGCCTTGTTTGCCGTAGTCAATGAAATGCCACGTGCAGCTTCAAAGTCAAACTCAGGAAGATCATCATCATCAGGAGCAAGTGGAGGTTCTTTTATAGCATTTCTGGAAGAATTGGAACTATCAAGAAACTTAGAAATATAGTTTGCCACTCACCTTTCTGACCTGTGATCAGATCCACAACAAAACTCAATGGCATGAAAAAAAAAAAAAATTAAAATCCCAGTAATGCCATTTTTTAATTCTTTGGATAGGTAATATATATAAAAATAAAAGACGCCCAAAAGGGCTAGCCAAGAATCTATATTAGGAGCATTAACCAAAGAATTATGCTAAATTATATTATGTCATGGCTCCTGGTTCAGTGGAGAGACGCAGAAAACTTAGAAATCTAGCTTTGACCAGAAATTCCATGAGTTCTACTAAAAAACTATGAAATCAAGATTAGAGTGCATCAATGTGAGTACAAACAATCAGATTTGCAGTCTAGAGCATCATGGTGAATAAATAGATATAATTTCAAACTCAGAGCATTTCGTTTTGTTTGGATAAGAAAAGAAAGGCATTTGATTATGAAAAAAGCCAATAAAAATACAGCCATCTAAATCGTCCAAGGAAATATTTTCAGTATTTGTGGCTATAAAGGCCATCAAGTTAAGGTTTTGTTACCATTTCACGGTTTAATTTTCCATTCCATCTCTTCAATTCACTATTAAACACAAAAATTAAAATAGCAGTAACACCAAAAACCAAGCAATTTAGACTATAAATGCGAAAAAAACTGATAAAGAAGACGAAGAAGAAATAGAATTGCTTGCCTCAAGAATCAAAGTGAAGAATTAGGAATCAACAGGTCGCATTGTCACACTTTAGAGTAGGGTCAGAAACGCCAGCTTCTCGGTCATACAGTCGCGCTAAAGTTAACGAAGAGCTAACACGTGTTATATATTTATATAGAAAATGAAAAATTACAAAATGGTCACAAAGGTCTGCTAAATACTAACTTTGCTCCCTTCATATTCCCTTTTATTTAATTGTAATTTAGCCCTTTATTGTATCTTTCTCTTTTTTTTTTTTTTTTTTTTTTTTTTTTTTTAAAGGTGAAGAATTAGGATCAACATGGTCGCATTGTCACACGTGTTTAGAGTAGGGTCAGAAAACGCGCAGCCTCTTCTCGGGTCAGTAGTAGCAGTGCGCGCTGAAAGTTAACGAAGAGCTAAGCGCACGGTGTTATGATATTTATATAGAACAATGAAAACATTAAGCAATGGTCACAAAGGTCTGTAAATACTATACGTGTTGCTCCCTTCAAGATATTCCCTGTTTTATTGTAGATTGTAATTTACGCCCCCTTTATATTGTGATCTGTTTCTCTTTTTTTTTTTTTTTGCTTTTTTTTCGTTTTTTTTTTTGTGTGTCCGTGTGCGTGCTGGTAACGAGGGAACATCCTTGTCATGATTGCCGCAATATGTTTTTCTGTTTTTTGTTTAATGATATGGTCAGAGAGACCACGGTTCCATCGGTTTATCGCACTTTTTTTTTTTTTTTTTTTTTCTTTTTTTTTTCCTTCTCTTACGAGGAAATCCCTTCATATTCCCAATATGTTTTTTTTTTTTTAATATATGGTCAGAAAGACCACGGTTCATCGGTTTATCCACAATTTTCTCAAAGCAATCAATAAATGTGTTTCCTTCGTAAACTTCTCTTTTAGCTCTTGAAATCTTAATTTCATTATAGCTTATGAATCCTTATGGTGATGAAGAGAATGAGAGGCATTCCCATTGTCGTTTCGTTTGGAAATCTTGTTTAGAATTTGTCTCGTCATCGAATTTGGCGTTTGGTCTTGGTCCCGGTTCGGCAGGAAACGAGTGTACAAGACTGGGCTTGGCCCATTATGACTATGAAGCCCATTTTATGTACATTAGGACACTTCAAATTACCATTCTGAAAGAACATCGATGAATTAATTGGATTCGAATCAGAAATCTAAATTTCAAATTAATTTCTGTTTATAATCTTGATCACCCATGCATTAACTTGTACCAACCTTGACAAGGTTTATTTTTTTTCTTTGAATTTTGAGGTCATATAACATAAATGATAGTTTCTTAAGGTTAATATGTGTTGAATAGTTTGTTGTTGATGAAATTAAGAAATGGACTAAGCAAATTTTTTTTTTTTTTTTAAAAAAATCTTGTAATAATACACAATGCCTATACAGAATAATCAAAAAATTGTTCTCAAGTGACAAAGCAGAAAAGTGCTCTATGATATATATATTTTTTCCTTTTGAAAGTTGAAAATAATAAGAGAAAATTGAAATTCCACTTGTCAATCTTTCCAACTCTCAACTCAGTGTTTATTAATTTTTTATGGTGAGATATAATTCAAGGCAAGATATGCAGTACTATATTTCCAACAACAAGTCATTTGCACATTTTGAGGGACCTATTTTATTATTAAATATTTTAATTTGCAGAATAACATTGATCTAGCATTTTAACGTAACTTTGCGTTCATTTAATATTATCAAATAATAAAAAAATATATAAAAATGTGTTTATTTATGTAATTTTAAAAATAAAGTATTTGTGTCAATATTTATGTATTTGTTTATCTTTTACCATTTTATGACTATGTTTTAGGGTTGAGAATCGCATAAAATAACATCATTCCACGGCCACGTGATAGCCACGTGCATTTACTGGACTACTCCATGCTGGTTTAGATTGACTTGCAGATATACTTTGTCCAATTCAAATGATCCTCAAGGGACTGCAACCACCAGATCACAATCCATGCACTCTACGAGATTCGGAAATTGGATCTCTAGGCAAGTTGCAATTGGATTATTATTATTTTTTTAACCATTTGCTCTCCAAATTTACTGAATATCACTTATTCAAAAACTGCTCCCTTCCGAATATTTAAAAAGATTCCAACATCAAAGCATTCAAAATTATTATATTATTTATAATATTAACAAAATTGATTTTTAATTAAAAAAAAGAGAGCTCATTTTTTTTTTTACCAATTTAGATAAATGAGGCAATCCAATTTATATTATAAAGTGGAATTTTCTAATGGAATTGATTTTGAGGAATGCATTTTATGTACTTGAGTAGTTTCATTTGCAGTAAAGTAAATAACATAAAACAAAATAATATCGTGAACCATTCCTTTCAGACAGAAGATCTGAGCTTTTGGATTTTGGCAATATAACAGGCTATTGTATACAGACATCACACACGACAAAAACTAATAAATATTATCACGTTAATGCGCAGAACAGAAGAATTACGTGGTTAAAAATTGTTGAAGGTTATATATATATATATATATATATAAAGGTATAACAGGCTATTGTATTACGCAGACACACAGCACGACAAAAACTATAAATGATTTATCCAGCGTTAATGAGGCGAGAACAGAAGAATTTAACGTGGGGTTAAACATTGTTGAGGTATATATATATTATATATATTATATATAATGTGTGTGTGTGTTGTGTTAGAATCTTGATCTAACTTCGCAGGCAGATATTGCGATTTTCAGTTTTTATTTTGGCTTGGAAGATATGGTTAAAAGTTCGTTAAAGAAAATTAAAACATTTCGGTGATGCCGGTGTTTGTAAAACTTAAGTTTAAGCTAAAAGTTATCGAGCTGCTCAAAAAACTAAAATGCATTTTGATTTAAGTAGAAAATAAATTAAAAATTCGAAAAATATTTTCAATTGTTTTATGTTTGGCTTAAGTTATGTGAATTAGATAACTTTCGGTTGAATTTTATTTTGGTTAAAGTCAGTTAATGCACATAATTTGGCAGCTTAATTCGACTCGTTAATGTAAGGTTTTTAGAATGTTGTCATTAAGCTTTGGTTCGGTTGAACGAAAGTCAAAATTATTCGGTGAGAAACAGTTCGGTATATATATATGTGTGTGTGTGTGTTAGAATTTGATCTAACTTCCAGGCAGATATTGGATTTTCAGTTTTATTTTGCTTGAAATATGGTTAAAAGTTCGATTAAAGAAAATTAAAATTTCGGTGATCGGTTAAAACTTAATTTAACTAAATTAATCGACTCTCAAAACTACATCATTTTGATTAAGTAGAAAATAAAATTAAAAATTAAAAATATTTCAATTTTTATTTTGGTTAAGTAGTAATTAATAACTTCGGTTAATTTTTATTTTGGTTAAAGTCAGTTAATCATAAATTTCAGTTAAATTCGATCGGTTAATTAAGTTTTAATTTTCATTAACTTTGGTTCGGTTAAGAATCAAAATTAATTCGGTGAAAACAGTTCGGTTAAAAAATTAATTTAGTTAAATTTGATTAAGTAAAAAAAAATTTGATTAATTTATTCCAGTTAAAAATTTTACTCAAATTGACAAAATTGGTGAATGAGCATCCTAAATAATATTTTTTTGACTTACCTTCTTTTAATTTTTTTTAGTTTAAATAAATTTATAAAATAAATTATCTTTAATAGTTTAATATAATGAATTGTTTTTGGTTCAGATATTTCTTTTGTATTAATAACGATGTAGTGGTGGTGGTGTTGGTGATGGAGTGGTGTTTGAAGTGGTGGTGGTGGTAGTGGTGGAGTGGTGATGGTGGTTGTGATAGTGATTGTGGTGGAGGTGGCGATGGTGGAGTGATGGTGGCGGTGTGATTGGTGATGGTAGTATTTTAATTACATTACATATTTATAAATAATATAAAAATAGAATGGTGATTATATTCTATAAATTTTATCAATTATATTATCAAACATAATAATAGTAATAGAATCTTAAATACATTCCATTCCATTACATTTTTCATTGCATTATACATCCAACCAAAAATAGCATTAGTTTCCATTTGATTATCCAAGTTTTTTCTTTTTTTATTCAGTTTTATATATTAAGTATATATTTTATGTTTTTGAATTATCTAAAAACTATGTGCAATAATAAAAGGCCTAATCATTAAAAAAATATAGATTTTTGAGTTTTTTTTTTTCAAATTTGGTCAATATTTTTGACTTTATCAATTAATATATTGTACTTACTTTTTATCGTCAATTTTAACTTTCGTCCTGAGTCCAATTGAGTGTAGTCGAGTAATATAACTCCAAAAGCAAAAAAACTTACCTAACGGATTTTGGGGTTACTGA